CCTTCCTCCCTCCCTCCCTTTCTTCTCTCTCTTTCTCTCTCTCGCTCTTTCTTTTTTTAGATGAGGTTGCCCAGCCTGGTCTCAAACTCTTGGGCTCAAGCAATCCTCCCACCTTGGCATCCCAAAGTGCTGAGATTGCAGGCATGAGCCGCTGAGCTGCTGCTTCCAGCCCATGCATTTGTTTCAAAAGGCAACTTTGAACTAGACTTTAATGACATACATGGGGACTCCTCCAAAATGGAATTTATTTATTAAAAATTGTGGTTTTATTCTTACATGCCTAAACTTTAGTCACCTTCAGAGTACTCTCCATCTGATGCAATTGAGGTGCTTTTCCACTGCTCAGAACAGTTTTTGAACTCATCAGCTTTGATGCCTTTTAGTGCTTTTGTCATTTTTTTGTTTCACCCCTTCCACATCAGCAAAACATTTTCCTTTGAGGACTTTTTTTAGCCAGGGAAATAAACAAAAAATGTAGTTTGGGGTGAGATTGGGTGAATAGGGAGGGTGGGACGGGGGTCCTGCCATTTTTAGTCAAAAACTGCTAAACATTCACCTCGGTGTGAGCAGGTCTGCTGTCAAGGTGGAAAAACCAATCACCTGTTTACCACAACCTGGGATGTTTCCTTCTGCAAATTGTGTCACAAAACTTGCAGATAAAAACTTCTCAAAACTTGCAGATAAAAACTTTGGTTGACTGGTTGATCTGGAGGAACAAATTCTGAGTGTACTATAAGGGGCCTGCCCTCCAAAAGATAATTTTGCTTTTGGGGGGTCCCCCTAGTATAAAATAACAGAAATATCAGCCGGGCTCGGTGGCTCAACCTGTAATCCCGCGTCTTTGGGAGGCTGAGGTGAGTGGATTGCCTGAGCCCGCGGGTTCAAGACCTGCCTGGGCAGCGAGACCTCATCTCTACAATGAATCAAAAATTAGCCAGGCGTGGTAGCGCACGCCTGTAGTTCCAGCTACTCGGAAGGCCGAGGCGGAAGGATCGTCGGAGCCCAGCAGGTCGAGGCTGCGGTGGCCGGGAGCGGCCACTGCGCTCCAGTCTGGGCAACAGAGTGAGACTCCAACTCAAAAAACAAAAATAGAAAAATCATATATACATGAGGATAACATTTTCCCAAAGATTATACATGTTGTTGTAACAAAGTAGAGGAAAGAAGGCTTATTATTAACAAATTTTGTTAGCAATGGTATTAAAACTCAGTTCTATGCCATAAACATTTACATGCCCCGAAAGCACCAGCCCCGAAGGTGAGTTGTCCCTCGCCTCCTTCTCTCCCCACCTGCCTCATGGAACCAATTGCCCCAGTATCTCCGCCTCTTACATAGACTGTTCCTGTGTCCGTTTCTCTCCACCTCCACTGCCTCTGTCCTGGACTAAACTTCTATCATATCTTGTCCGGACTTCAGAAACTCCCACCTGATCAGCTTCCCTCATCTGCCTCTTATCTTTCTTCATGTGGCAGCCAGAATGACCCTTGAAAAATAAATCAACACGGGAGTCAGTTATCTCTGCAGCCAATATGACAAAAGCTAAGATTTGATAAAACTGGTTGGTGATTATCCAATATTTGTTTTATTATTTGTATGCCCTTCTGAATGATTGAAATATTGGGTGATAAACAAATTTAAGAACAAATAAAAAATCTGATCCCATTAATCCCGCCCTCACCATGCTTAAAATGGCCTTTAGGGCAAAGGCTAAACGACTATTACTATACTACTATCACTTCTTTTTTTGCCGGGCTCGGTGGCTCAGCCTGTAATCCCGCGCCTTTGGGAGGCTGAAGTGAGTGAATTGCCTGAGCCCGTGGGTTCGAGACCCGCCTGGGC